TGAAGCCTGAGGCAGCTGCCTCCCTCTGCCCAATGGTCACGTCAGCCCTGACCAGAAATGCATTACCTTCCTCATCTCTTGACTACACCAGGTCTTTCTGCCAGACGTGGTATTGAGGCACGGAGTTCAACTTTCAATTTTTTAAAGCAATCATCTTGCTTTATTTATTCATCTCTCTAAACACCACGCTTCCTGTAAGGTGCTTCCTGTGGCATAAATAGCTTTCCCCTTTATCCTGTGAGGTACAGTAGGCTGAAAGATAGTAGTGACCCTTAAATATCACCCAATATCTCAGGTGTGTGTGTGTGTGTGCTTTATATATATATATTTGCTTGTTCAGGTTTGCTCCCTGCCCTGGTTATGTGTCCAAAGGCTGGGTTTTTCCTCATATATGAGGTACCGCATTGCCTTAGAACTGATATACCGGTAAATGAAAACTTAAAAATAGAACTTCACTGAAGATCCTGCAACCATAATATTTAATAAGTACACAAGGTAGAGAGACCAAATATGTCTAGGTCCATTTAAAATTGAACAAGTTACAATATGCAGAATACGAAACCACCAATATCATTTTAAACCTTTGGCTGGATATGTTTGTGGTTTAGTTCCCACCCCACACCAAACCACACATATACTCTGATTACTGCTTTAGCAGCGCCCTCTAGTGCCCTGCTATGACCTGCTATAATTTACAGAAAGGTTTTAATGTTAACAGCAGCAGATGTGCACCTTAAGGGCTTGGAGTGTTTCATTATTAAGGTGGTTTTGAAAGCTGAACCTAAATTGGTGAAGGTAAATGCCTGGGGGGGGGGTGAGGAATATGTAGACTCAATCTTTGCAATTGCTAGAACAAAGCTGAGGCAGGTTCTTTTTAAATTTTAATGTTAAAACTTTTAATTATTTTAAATAAAACTAACCAGTTTTGTTTGTTTGTTTCTTAATTCTAAAGATTGCTATCATATTCTGCCTAACTCCTTTGTAAATGCACAGGAACAACATTGCTGTAATTTAGATCAGACTTCCCAGCTCAGTGCTTGGCAGGTTTACTTGGAAGCAATGTCCTTTATGTTGAATGGAGATTATTTCCAGTCAGTGTGCATACCACTTAACAATGGCAACAAATACAATTCCATACACCCTGCCCAAATAAAATAGTGTTGCACACCAGCCCATTCTCTGAGCAGTGAGAGATTCCTTCCCAGGATTTATGTTTCCTTTTGGAAATGAGGCACAGCAGAGACTGTGGTGTCTTTATGATATATGGTTTATTTACACATATATACAACCTAAGCCTGAGATGAAGGAGCTCACAGCATTAACACCCCAAGGGGGTCTTGTTTCTCCCATAGCCAGAGCCTTGGATTCAAGCAGAAATCAGTTCTGACTCTCTCCTTGCCTTTACAGCCTTCAGCTTTTTCCTCTAGGTCACTTCACAGCAAACTCTGCTCTCCAACTCAGGCTTTGTCCTTCTAGCTATTTAAGATCTGGAGGAGGGGCACCACTCCTTTGGTATCTGACACAGAGCCCCCTTCCTTTTGTTCTCTTAATGATCCATCACGCAGGCAGTAACATCAGGAAGCTAGCCTGGCTTAAATAGCTTGCTAGGATTAAATTCATAAGAATATATTGCTGCAATAAAGACACCATGGGGAAAAGGTATGGAAGGACTGTGAATTCCATTTAGTTCTAGCACTCAGACAAACTCTTGGGCACAGAATTCTTTAATTTTAGATGTATCTCTTTTGCAGTTAGCTCCAGTTGGAGGATCCTGGGAGTTCTTTTTGTTGTTGTTTAGTCGTTTAGTCGTGTCCGACTCTTCGTGACCCCATGGACCAGAGCACGCCAGGCACTTCTGTCTTCCACTGCCTCCCGCAGTTTGGTCAAACTGGGAGTTCTAGTACTGTATAAAAACAACATGAATCCCTCAAGCCTCCCCTCCTTTTGGCTATAACTGTGTGTGCACTCTACTGACCAAAGCCTGGCTGCAGGCAGGGTTTTTCCAAAAGTAGTTTTGAAAGTAGAGTTTTCAAAAGAGTAACTATATTTAGCTTCTAGGTGTCATGAATCCCAGAATGTGCATCTCCAAAGAGCACCAAATTTCATTAAGAAGCAATAAATCTTTAAATGATTTTTCTTTTGTAATGTCGATGCCCAACAGTTTCTCTAAATTCTTTTACTTCTGCTTCCACTGTTTGCATATCTGAACTTGCCAAATATAGGTTTATTTTTCTTAAGGGGCTTCATGGTCCACTAAGTTCACCTTTTAAAGTCACCCAGGTAGGATTTATGAGCATAACTACATTTTGCAGGGAGGGGAAAGTGCTGTCACACTGGATCAACAAGGCCTAGGGGCAACCTGTGGGTAACCTGTGGCCCTCCAAAAGTGGTCGGACTCCAATTCCCATCAGCCCCTGCCAGCATGGCCAAAGGTTGTTGGACCACAACCAAATCTGAATGGCCCACCCTCAAAACTACAGGAAGCAAGAGCTTTATAACAGAGGGGAAGAGCAGGGAGAGTGCTAGGGAAGGAGCAACACAACCCAAAAATAAAATAAAATTACAGACCAAGTAATACAACAGAAACTTTGTGTGATGCATTTCGTGAGCAGTGTTATGGTAATGTATTTACCTTATCCCTAACTCAAATAGTAATAACGTAATTCTCTTTTCTTCTTCTTCCAGGTGTGAAAGAGTGTCATTCAATGACTGTTTACTCAGGAAACAACATTACCGTATCCCAAGACATAGAAAGGCAGGGATGAGGGAACAGCAATGCTCTCTTTCATAAGTGAAATCTATGTTAAACCATACCACCATAAATTTACCTTGTACAGATTAAGGCAGTGGGTAGGTATAATACCAGTCTTCAAATATCTGGGTGGCTGTCATGGAGAAGATAGAGCAGACTTGTCCTCTGTTATTTGAGAAACTACATCATAGACGTGGATTGTGACTAATGTCACGTGTACACGGTTTCGAAAACCAGCAGTGGGAGCACTCTGGAGCCAGAATAAATGCAATGTGTGCATAGCCTTCGTTGTTGCCCTGTCAGTAAACCTCTAAGTTGCTCTCTGGCACTCTTACATCCTTAAGCCAAAGTACATACTCAGGATCACTTTCCACAGATTACATAATTTGTGTATTTTTTGCAAAGTGCCTTTGATCCTGCCCCCTTTAAAGATGAATTAAGCAACGTAAAGAAAAGAAAACCATCAACCAGATGGGCAGAGTAACATATTTATTTATTTATTGAAATATATATATTTAGTACGTTTTGTAGTACTGGGATACACGTTTTAGAATACTTCCATAAATAGTACTGCTGAAATTATATCATGAGATCACCATCATGTGCTGTAGTGGTAAGAATAGTAGTCAGAATCTTGTGTGTGTGTGTGTGTGTGTGTGTGTGCGCACACACACACACACACACACACACTTTTATGTAAGGCACTGTAATTTGCCAGCAGGAACAAAGTAGTAGAGTTTTAAAGTCAGAGTGAGCCAAATGGGTTTCCTTAAGGCAGTCAGATTGCAACTCCCATTATTCCCATCTGTTACCCAGGATGGCTGGGGGTCATGGGAGTTATAGTCTGAAGCATCTGGAAATTTCAGGCTTTGTTGGAAGGGTTTTTTGTTTTTTGTATGTATCCAGAACACCTCAGAAAATATTTAGCTGATATTTTGGGTGGTATGCTGCTGGGAGTAGATGTACTAAAATTCACAAATCTAACTTGGTTGCATTCATTAATTTCAGTGGGTCTGCTTTTAATAAAACTTAGTTGAATACCACCAGTTATTTGGATCGTTTTTTTGCTTCTGTCCGAGATCAGCTCATCTTACTGGAGTCCAACCAGGCACAGAGACCAAAGTGCAGGCAGAATTCTGGCACAAAGCAAAGGGAGATCCAGTCAGGAGCCAAGGCAAGAATGAACAAAAAAGCAGGGCAAAGATCAGACACACACTGAGCTGTTTTATGCTAGGAAAGCCAGGCCATTCTCTTTCAGATCACCAACTGGGTGCCAAGATGCACCAGTTGCCCACCTAAGTATACATTTTCTAAGCAGACCTCTGGTTCTTCACCAGTTCTGTTTCTTCCTCAGCTTTAGGGAGATAGGAGGTTAGGAGAGGAAGTGGTGGAAACCTGGATCTGCAAAGGGGTGCACAAACTGATCAAAGCCCCCCTGCCCCGAGTGAGGTGTCTGGATGACAAGGTGAGTTGGACTGCTAAACAGGTTATTCAGGTGTGTCAAGGCTGTCTGTTTGGTCCCAGTCTGAATCCTCTGGGTCTTAACATCTTCCTAATATATTGAGCTGCTATAAAGGCTTGAGCATGTGGGTATATATTGTTATCTGTTAATATTACTTGATTTAATTCATAACAAAATAACTTATTTAGTCTGCAACATGTGAAACAGAGCCAGTGAAATGTTGTAAGTACATTCTAGTCTTAAATATTTCATTTATTTTAGTGTTTTCTTCACACACTTTGCATAAAGTACTTCATGCTGGCAGCTCAAGTCACATTTTACATCCATGTCAAACCTGACCCACTTTGCTGCTATGCATCTCACAGTTAGTTTTGCAATGTGATCTCTTTAGGGATATAATATTAGATGTGTTAGATGGTGGGGAGTCACTTGTCAAAGCAATATGCCAAGATTCCACTCAAGGGCTGCTGACTGGAAGAGGTGGGGAAGCATTTTCAACTAAAGAAACAGCAAGCAGTAACAAAACATTATACACTGGTACCTTGGTTTATGAACTTAATCCGTTCCGGAAGTCCATTCTTAAACTGAAACTGTTCTTAAACCAAGGCACGCTTTCCCTAATTAGGCCTCCTGCCGCTGGTGCCCTTCCACCGTTCGGATTCTGTTCTTAGACTGAGGTAAAGTTCGCAAACTGGGGCACTACTTCTGGTTTTGCGGAGTTTGTAAACCGAATAGTTCATAAACAGGGCTGTTCGTAAACCGAGGTACCACTGCATCTGTAAGTTGCTTTGAGTCCCATCAAGGGGAAAGATGGGGTATAAATAAATATCCAACCATAATAATAAATGCAGAAAGAAAAACTACTATTTTAGGATAACTTGCATTAACATAAACTAGTTGTTATACAGCAGTGCTTACAAAGATACATCTCGATCTCTTGCCGTAATCTACCTTACAGGGTTGTTGTGAGCCTCAAATGCTACTCTGAATTCTTCTGGGGTGAAAAGAATACAATTGTAACCTGAGAGCATAGACAGGATGATGGATCAGGGTAGCACCACTGCAACACAATTCACAAAATCTTGCATTGTTCATTGGACCTGTCCAGTTTGTGACCTGCCAAGGCAGACACAATCCACCAGCCATGTGGTGGGCATTTGACAGCTCTCCGGGTTTTTGCAGTCCCATGGAGGCAGCAAAATCCACCATACATGGCTCATAGCCCAGGTTTAGCATAATAGGCCTCAAATTTTATAGGCCTGTACTATATGATAGAGTTGTTTTCAAAACGAACTAAGCAATTAGTAGTTTCCATTAAAGTACTTATTTAGATGCTGCAAGATGAATAAAGTCCTCCAGAACCGTGAAGGAAGTATGAAGAGATTCCTTCAAATCTTGGTGTCTAAGAAATCTTCGAAGAGTATCTAAAGCAGTAAGGGCCTCCTCCTTTGATGGCGAAGGGTGTTTACATCCTGGAAAGTCATCACCTTCATCTTTCTCATAAGTTCCATTTGAAGTACATTTTTTAGCCTGTGATATTTCAGTGTTAGGAGGCATTTCACAATTTATCAAGTCATCATTGAAAGCTACATATTCCTCCAAAGACAAGCCTTTTGGAAACTCAACTCCTGCTGCCGATGCATATGCAGCCAAATCAAAATTAATTTCTGTTTTTGTGTCCTCATCAATGTTTTCCCCAGTTTGTGATCTAAACCCTTCTTTGCTATGACTTTTAACAACTGTCCCTGGAGATACAGCCCTCCAACATAGGTATAACATGTCAACTGCATCAAGCAAAGTCAGCATGAATTCCTTACCACTTTCAACACAGTCTACAAATCTCTTGAGAAGAAGGCACCGGTATTTTACTTTCAGACTCTCGGTGATATTTTGTTTCACAACTGTAAATCTGGAGGGTGAGCAAGAAGGGAAGGATACAAGTCTGATAGACTTCAAATTCCTTACCTCTGGGTGAAAAGGGAAAGAGTCCACAAAAATAATGATGTGACGCTTCTGCATTTGAAATCTCTTGTCAAGTTTGCTCACCCACTGATCAAACAGCTCTGAAGTCATCTGTGCCATAGTAGTTGACTGATATTCCACAGGCAGTGATGTGACACCCTGAAAGCAGCAGGGAGTTTTGTTCTTTCCTATAACAAGCAACGGAAGTTTTTCTGAAGCATCCATATTTACGCCAACCACTACAGATATTTTTTCTTTGCCTAATTTTCCCAGGGAGCATGTTTCTCCTTTAAATGTAAAAGTAGGACTAGGTAACATCTGATAAAACAATCCTGTCTCCTTCATGTTAAATATATCATTTGGCTGATAAACCTTTAAATAGTAAGACAGAATATTTTGATGCCAAGCAGTTGCTGTATCCTCTGTAGTGGTAGCAGTAGTGGTATGAGTAGTACGAGCAGGAGCTACAACTGGCTGAGATCTGAATGCCAGTCCATACCTTGCTTTAAAACGATCTAGCCAGCCATTGCTGCATTTAAAATCATTATGTCCAAGTTTCTGTGCAAAATCATTAGCTTGGAAGCGTAGCATCGGCCCATTCACTGGTATATTTGAACACTGAGCCATTCTGTACCACTTCACCAGTGCCTCTTCCAGATCTGTATGAAATGCAGTCCTTAACCTTTTTCTTTTAGGGTCAAATTGCCACGATTCAAAGGCTTCTAAAACTTTCTCTTTGTTCTTCATGATGGAGGACAAGGAGTTTTTCTTTATACCGTATCTTTCTGCAATGTCTGTCTTCTTCTTTCCACTTTCTATTGCAGCTATTATACTAATTTTATCCTGGATTGATAAGCTTTTCTTCTTCCTTACTGCAGGCAGAAGTGAGGGAGCATCTGAAGACTCCGCCATGGTACAACCCCCAAACTCCCTCAGAGGCTCAAATGCATCTAGAGACATTCGTTCTGTCACCTCGCTATCCTCAAGTGCTTTAATTAGATTGGCTTTCAAATGAGTACCCTGATCTCATGGTATAAACGTCACTGTGTTAATAAATAAACGTCACAGAGTAGTAATGCCATGGGTATATTCTTGTATACCCAAGCACACAGCTAAGGAATGAGCACAAACAAGCCTTTCTGGTATCTTTGCCCAATAAGAATATTTTCCATAACTTCTCTAGACTGAGTTTCAAACATGTGGACTAAAGAGTTGAGTACTTTTCAACTAGGAATCTTCTTATCTCACATCAAAATAAAGTGTGAAACGTAACTTCAGCTGTATTATATGTAAAACTTGTCAGTACTGCTGCTTTAATTTAAGAGATCTGCTGACAGATGTGTCTATTTGTTGCAGTAGCTGTTTTAACATGGATCTTTGGCGCCCCACTCTATGCCTGGCACAGGGATAGGGAACCTTATTTCAGCTCAAGAGCTGCTGTCTATTCTGAGCAGTTTTCTGGGGCCACAGGCCAGTGGGGGGTGAAGTCTGAGGCAAAAGTGAGCAGAGCAACTAACTCGAAGGCTAGTTTCTCCATATACTCATGCTTTCCTCTCTATCCTGCAATGTCAGAGTTCAAGGGCACATTCTAGCAGGGCAAAACACTCAAGGAGGGTGTTGAGTAGGCCTGGTGAGGGGTGTGGCCTGTGGAGAGTCCGGGGGCCAAACAGAGAACCCTGTAGGGCCAAATTTGGCACAAGGTTCACCACTTGTGCTCTAAAAGTAGAATCATGTCCTATCAAGCATTCCACATGGAGATCTGATGGGAGAATGCACTCAGCTGAACATGCTTTGAAATTTTATTCAGGCCTTTACGCTGAATGCAGAAAAGTCAGGAGTGATCACAGGGAAGGAGCCTGTAATGGGTGAAGTGTGGAGGCTTGGCAGGTGGCTTAGTCTAAATCCTACACTCACTCAGCCATTGTTTCTACCATTGCCATCAATGTAACTTTACTCCTGAAAAAAGGAATACAGCACATTATTCCACTTCCTCTCACATCAATAGAGACTGTCCCTCCCAACCTATTCCAGCCACAATATAGACTTTGATTCCAACTCACATTCTTCACTGAACTCTATTTAGCCATGATATTTTCCATGCAATCAACAGCACATGAAGAAAGAGCAGAGCCATGTGTGCCAGCCCTGTCATTGCAGCATGTGTGCCAGGCTTGCCCCCACACTGTCTACAAATTAGGTGCGTATCTCCTAAGCAGAGACCACTGAATAGAACTAGTGTATGCAGCCTTACTTTTTCTCCACATGATGTTAACTACATGCAGCCCTGGCACACTAGCCGAGGACCTCACTGCAGCTCAACTCAGCTATGCCACCACTCACTGTCCTCACTGCTACCCCCCTCTCCCCTGGTGGTGTCTTAGCAGCGGGTGGCACTGCTGCTTTTTATTGGAAGCCATGCTTAGGTCCCATCTATGGTGGCTGCCCACCATCTTAATTTACCCAGAACACAATGATCTATGCGATCCAAAGATGGTGGTTACCACAGATGGCAATCAAGGTCAGTCCTATTCTAAAGTGGCACCACTGCCCTTCCGAAGGTTAGATGCCACATTGGCAGCTCAGCAGGGAAGGTGGGTTAGGCTGTTGATTCCATGGTGGTGGCAGAAGAGGGGGTGAGGAACGCAGCTATATTAAGGGTGGTGTATGTGTGTGTTATCAGGTGCGGTGGAGGCCCGTCGGCAGCACCTGAAGTCTTGTGTACAGTGGAACCTCGGGTTATGTACCGTCCTCCTTATGAACGCTTCTGGTAAAGAGCTCTGGTAACCCGGAAGTAGGTGTTCCTGGTAGCAAACTTTGCCCTGGGATGTGAGCGGAAGTCGTGCGGCAGTGGGAGGCCCTATTAGCAAAAGCGCACCTCAAGTTAAGAACGGTTTTGGGTTAAGAATAGACCTCCACAACAAATTAAGTTCGTAAACGGAGGTACCACTGTACAGTGGTACCTCTGGATGCCAACGGGATCTGTTCCGGAGCCCCGTTTGCATCCAGAAGCGAACACAACCCACATCTGCCGGTTGCAATTTGCCGCTTCTGTGCATGCACATGATGTCATTTTTACCGTCTGCGCATGCACGATCGGCGAAACCCGGAAGTAATGTGCTCCGTTACTTCCGGGTCACCACAGCACGCAACCCGAAAATACTTATCCCAAAGCTACTTCAACCCGAGGTATAACTGTATTTCCGTTTGCCACTTAGCACAATCCCACCTCTCGTAGGAATCACAGAACTGTAGAGTTGGGAGGGAACCTGAGAGTCATCAATGCTCTGCAATGCAGGAATCTCAACTAAAGCATCCATGACAGACAGCCATCCCACCTCTGCTTAAAAACCTCCAAGGGAGGCCCACCACCTTCCAAAGGAGCCTTTCCCACTGTCAAACAGCTCTTGCCGTCAGAAAGGTCTTCCTGATGTTTAGTTGGAATCTCAACACCTGAAGGCAACCCTGTTTAGGGAAGTTCCCGGGTGAAACAAGGCTCCTTGTTTTTGCAGCAGGCAATTGAATGCACCTCTGGGAGGGCGGGAAAGGAAAAACCACACACAGCACACCCTTCGCTTTCCGTTCCCACTGGCGAGCCGCAATTCGAAGCGGAGGAGCCTTAAAGGGCACGGCACCCTATTCTACTTCTGCGCATTGGTTGCCCTGCACAACCGGAGGAGCTCCTCCTTTTTTCCGCTAGGTCTGCAGCCGCGGCCCGCTTGTCGCAGGCGAGAAGCCAGAAGTGGGGGGAGACCGGCCGCAAAACGACAGGCCCGGATGCTGTTGCCATGGTGACAGCAACGTGGAAGCGGCCCCTCGCTGCTGTCGCCGCCTAGAGCGGCCCCTTCGGAAGGTAACAGAGCAGCAAGCGGACGCTCTACTTCCGGCCAGGCAGTTCCGGTTGGTGCAGCCGTTCAGGGAGGGAAGCAGGGCGGGGAGGGGGGGTAGGGAGAGAGAGAGAGAGAGAGGCTGAAGTAACCGGCGCCCGTTTCCTCGCGAGCCCTTTCCGTTTAAGCTGCTCGGCCGTGTTTCCGTGGCTTTTGCGGGGGGAGCAGCTGGAAGCAGCCGAGCTTGAAGGCAAGTGAGGGAGGGAGGAGGAGAAGGGTGTGGTGGGTGGCTGCTGTGGGCGGGGGGTGGCGAAGAGATGAGCGCCGTGTCCCCCCCCCAAAAAAAACCTCCCCTCAGACAGGACCGACGCGGAGCCCTCAGCGCCTCCCTCGCCGAAGCCCTTCTCGTTCCGCCGCCGCCGCCGCCGCCTCTCCCGTTACTCCGCTCCTTCCTCCTCGCCCGCGGCGCCAGGCCGGTGTTCTTGGCCTCCTCCTGCTGCGGCCCCGGAGCTTCAGCCGGGGCCTAAGCCACGTATGAGGGAAGGGCGCGTCCCCCCACATTTCGCTCTTTCCTGGAAGAGACCGTTTCCTACCCGCTGCAGCCTGCCCGGCAGGCTGTGGCTCAACAGGTGTTGCTTTATTTTTATTTATTTTTTTAAATGTCACGGCACGGAGGTATAGGACGATGCGGGAAGATTAGTCCTTCGCCTGTTAGGTAACAAATCCGCTTGGGAGGCCTGTCGGGAAGGGGATCCTGGTGCGCACTCAGGGTTCCTGGTCTTTATCTCTTGGAGGGTGGGGCAAAGGGCAGGTGTAAAGCTGATGTGTTTGTGCCCAGGAGGAAGTACTTGTGCTCAGCGGAGAAGTACAAACCTGCTCATGGAAAAACGCCCTTTTTAGTTTTTTTCTCTTTCTCACTTTATTTAGCCTTTAAAAAACACACAAAATCTTTAGGTTCCTTGGTGCTCGCACCCTTGACTTCCAAAAGTGAAGTTGCTGCTGCTTTGTTTTTGCTCAGGGGTTGTATTCTGGCCATGCACTCTGCTTTCTGCCTTGCTTCCCCAGAATCCATGACTCCCGGCCATTTGGATGAGTTATAGATGAAAGGTTAGGGGCTATGTTCACACAAAGGTAGTTTTCTTCGTTGTGAAATGGAACTTGTAGTTCAGTACTGTCTGGGATTTAAAACTTGAATAGTTATGTCTTCTTATGAAGCAATTTAATATTGGATCAGTTCTTAAAGATTGTTAGGGTGGAAGTGACTTCTCTAAAGTCAGTAGATGAAGCTGATTGTCAAGCTAGGTAATACTGTAGTCATCCATAGGAAACAGACATGGAATGGTTTCTGCAGGTACATTCAAAATACAGTGAGATGCACAAATGTGGCTGCTGCTTAGTTGAATAATGTACTCGGGTCTCCTCTTGCACTTCTTATACCGCAGTATTCATCTTGCAGAGTACACTACTCTGTGTGTATTGTACCAACATTTTCTGGAATTGTGGCTTTTCTAGTTTTATAGATGACTAGAACTTGGAGGATTTGCCCAAGAATGTCCTCCCTCACCTGCCCCATGCATGCTTCTCCTTTCAGTTTTATATGGAGGTCATAGCATATTGTTCCTTAAGACAGCTTTATTGTACAGTAGGATATGTTTTCCTGTGTCTTTAGAGGCAAACATTTTAAACACAAGGCTAATCACAAAAGCATGCACCTAATTCTGTGTTATATTTCTGCTTTAACTCCATGATGTTTGCTGTACAGTATATATATATATTTGTAAGTTCTTACAGTTTTATGCTTAATAACATGCTACAAGGAGCAGCAGTTGCCACCAGTGTTTTTCTTTAAAATCTTACGTAACTTTTTGGAAAGCCCCCAAAGCAACACACAATATTAAAATATGCTTATAAAAAGAAAAAGAAAAGGCAGAAACAACAGAACCAAATAAAGCCTATATTTGAGACCCAGGTGTAACTTTTAAAAATAAATAAAAACTAGGCAGCTAGTGTAAAAAGGAAGTAATGTCATATATATATATATAGTCTACCTTCTGCCATTACAATATTGTTTTATTGAAGGAAATTGTTGGGGGTTTTATAGCATGCATATATTATGGGATCATAATGATTCATAATATGACATAGTTCTGAGATTTCTGGTAAAAGAACTGGAATATTTTTAGATTGCTCAATTGTGATTCCAGTTCCACAAATTGTGATTTGGCTTGCTAGGTAGTGAGACTTTATTTGTTCCTGTGCCAAGATTAGGGGTCAGCAAACTTTTTCAGCAGTGGGGCGGTACACTGTCCTTCAGACCTTGTGGAGGGCCAGGCTCTATTTTGAAAAAAAATATATATGAATGAATTCCTGTGCCCCACAAATAACCCAGAGATGCATTTTAAATAAAAGCACACATTCTACTCATGTAAAAACACCAAGCAGGCCCCACAAATAACCCAGAGATGCATTTTAAATAAAAGGACACATTCTACTCATGTAAAAGCACGCTGATTCCTGGACCGTCCACTGGCCGGATTTAGAAGGCGATTGGGCCTGATCCGGCCCCCGGGCTTTACTTTGCCTATCCATGGGTTAGGTGTTCTCCTTTTACACCCACTGACAAGGAAGGGGAGTTTTACAGGGAAGTGATGTGAAGAGGTATACAGTGGTACCTCGGGTTACATACGCTTCAGGTTACAGACTCCACTAACCCAGAAATAGTGCTTCAGAGGTTAAGAACTTTGCTTCAGGATAAGAACAGAAATCGTGCTCTGGCGGCACGGTGGCAGGAGGCCCCATTAGCTAAAGTGGTGCTTCAGGTTAAGAACAGTTTCAGGTTAAGAACGGATCTCTGCCACGAATTAAGTACTTAACCCGAGGTACCACTGTATACCAAATCCGAATCCAACCTAAGATAAGATACTCAGGTGCTTCTTTAAGGCAATGAACAGATGAGACTTGACTGCTACATTGAGTTTCAGCATAACCTAAATGAAAACTTGGATGTGGCAGGCTACATGAACTGTTTGATGGGTGGTATAACATGGCCAAGTCACTGCTTCATGTATGGTCACCCGCAAAATCCTGTTTCTGTCTACCTACTCATATTACATACCACAAGTGGCAGACTTTGGGTTGTCAAATTTCAGAGGTGCCGTGTGCAACGCCAAAATTCAGCACCCCCTTGCCTCTTGCCTTCCATTCTAAGTCATTCTTGTGGTTTCCCCTGTGGCACCTTCTCGGCTTGGCACCCAGCGCAGGTGAACCAATCACACTCCCTTAAATCTGCCTCTGACCACACCAGTTAGATGCAGGCTGGTGCTAACTGTGAAATAAATGCTTCAAAAAAAAATGTACTTGCATAGTTGAACTTACTGGAAGCCTTCCCTGCAGGTTTTATTTTCTGTTTACCACTAGTGTATTTGTGGGTTCTTGGCAGGTTAGAAAGGCATCATGTAAAACCACACTGTTAAACATACTAATTTGCAGTGAACTTTGCTTAACTTCCTCAGTCCTAGGAAGCACAGCGATTAATGGTAACTACTTCCGCTTGTTGAAAATTCTCTCCATTTTCTCTACTGTGATTGAGACAAAGTCATTCATTATGAAGTGAAAGAGTTTGTTTAATATTAGATTAATATTCAAGTTGATAATGTCCCCTTTAAACATAAAGTAAAGGTCTTCGACAGGACCTGATTTTTATTGTATTACGTTTTTTAAAAAAGTTCAGTGTATATTTTCTGAATTGATGGAAGAAGAGAGAGAAAGGGGCAGTGGGTTTAAAGAGGTCTAGAATGGTAAGACCATATGGTCAGAGTCTTCAACAGCAGCAGCAAAGAGTAAGAGCTGAATATGGGGTGAAACAGTGTGGGCTTTCCGGCAGCTTGCATATCTGAAAAGAAAGGGGACTAGTGTTGTTCCTTGAGACTCAAATATTTAACAGTTTTATGTTTTTTTCAA